AGCCATGTGATGAACAACGTGAGCAGCGGCGAGTGCCGTGGGCACGTGTGTGTGTGTGTGTGTGTGTGTGTGTCCTGCTTACGAAGGGTCTTCTCACGATGCTCACAGCCTCAGCCACATTAGGTCATTTCAAAAGACTTTATTAAAAGGCATGGCGAATGCCGGCCATGGAGAAAGCAAATGGGTCTTAGGATGGAGTTCGTTAATTCTGGCAATGGGCCTTTGTGACCATGGGCTGGCTCAGAGGACGCTGGCCTCGGGTCTCCCACCCTGGAAAGTTCCTGCGCCTGCCCTGGGTGGGGCAGGAGCTCAGGAGGAAGAAGCCTCGTTGCTTCAAGCTTCCGTTCCCCCTGCAGCCTCCCGGGTCTCGGCTTCCAAGACTCACGGACACAGGACCTAGAAAGCCAAGATGGAGCATGGCCACTGGGGTGCCATGGCACAGCCCAGCGTGCCCGCTCACACGTCAGTAGACAACCAGAAGATTCCCGGCCAGGTGCTGAGAGCGGTGCTGGAATCCCACGCACCGAGTCTTTGCCCTGCGCCCCTTCCTCAGGGAGACCATGAAGCCCAACCCTAAACTCTTACACTGAGAACACCAGACACAAATGTTGAGCGACACTTTCTCCAGCGTCTCCCTTCTGGGCATGAACAGAAGCCTCGGCTCTCGGCTGGGCTCAGTCAGAGCTGCTGGCCCAGGAGCCCAGCAGCGAGGGTGGGCCAAGGGTTGTGGGGATGGGGTTGAAGCTCAGTGGGATCAAAGGTCAGTGGGGCCGAGGGTCTGTGGGATGAAGTTGAAGGTCAGTGGGTTTGAGGGTCAGTGAAATGGGGTTGAAGGTCAGTGGGATGGGTTGAAGGTCAATGGGGTCAAGGGTCAGTGGAATGGAGTTGAAGGTCAGTGGGTTGAGGGTCAGTAGAATTAGGTTGAAGGCCAGTGGGGTTGAGGGTCAGTGGGGTTAAAGGTCAGTGGGGGCTGAGGGTCAGTGGGATGGGGTTGAAGGTCAGTGGGGTCAAGGGTCAGTGGGATGGGGTTGAAGATCAGCAGGGTTTAGAGTCAGTGGAATGGGGTTGAGGGTTAGCGGGATGGGGTTGAACATCAGTGGGGTCAAGGGTCAGTGGGATGGGGTTGAAGGTCAGCGGGGTTGAGGGTCAGTGGAATGGCGTTGAAGGTCAGTGGGGTTGAGGGTCAGTGGGATGGGGTTGAAGATCAATGGGGTTGAGGGTCAGTGGGATGGGGTTGAAGGTCAGTGGGGTCGAGGGTCAGCGGGATGGGTTGAAGGTCAGTGGGGTCGAGGGTCAGTGGGATGGCCTTCCCCTCCTCAGTTCCCACAGTATTCATTTCATGGGGAGATTTTCTTACGTTGATTGAAAGGATCTCAGGATTGAGATTCTGAGCCGCCACTGTGGACACTGCCGAGCGGCTGATGCTCTGAGGGGATGTCAGACACCGTCACACTTGGGTGTCTCCGTGACACAGGGAGCAGGCAGAGCAGACACTGTGTTCCAGACCCTGGTGTAGCCAGGGAAGGGGGCTCATCCTCCCCCCAGCCCGGCCCCAGCCCCGGCCTCCCCGCCCGCCCTGCCGCCCCCCCCCCGGCTGCTCCCCCCCCCGCCGGCTCCTCTACAGTTCTGAGGCAGCGCCAGGTTTTCTTGTCAGCCGCCGCCATGTCTCCAAATGGCTTTTCAGTGTCAGTCCCGTCAGGAAATTAACTCATCACGCAGTGGCAGCTGCAAATTTTTCCCCTCACATGTCAGATGGCTCGCCCGCTGAAGCTAATCATGAATCACCAATCCCTGATTAGAAGGTGCTTCCGAAACCTATCACTGCCACCGCACTAACTTTTCTCTCCATGTAAAATGATATCACCCTTGAGGAGAAAACGAATGGGTTCCATGGCTGGGGGCGGGGTTAGCTGAGCTGCGCACTCTTGAATTAAGGGCTAACATTCAACGGTGAGAAGAGCAGTGGGCATGGCTGTTTTGGTTTGCGGAATGGAGGACCATCTTGGCTCCTGATTCTCTTCCCCAAACCAACGCTGGCCAGGTTAGACTCGGACGCCGGTGCTCTGCCAGCAGGCATGCCCGCATCCCAGGGGGCATCCTAGCATCACCAGGCCTCTCCGAGTCCAGGGAACACACCCTTAGAGGGGTAGGGCCTTAGACGGTGCTGGGCCTTCATGGAGCCTTGGTTGTGTTCTAGACCATGATGGAGCAAAGGCCCACAGCTGCTTACCTTCAATGTCCCCCAGGTTCTCTGCTGGATGGAACTTCTGTCTGAGCCACAGTCCCCTAGGGCTCGTGGGGCCAGCGCCTCCCGGAGCCTCCGACCTCTGTTCCCACCCCCGCCTGGCTCCCCAGCACCTGCCTGCCTCTCCCCACCTCACCCCAGCACCTCAGAAAGCCACTGCTGCCAAGGGTCGGGGTCAGGGTCAGAGTCAGCTCAGTCCGAGCCTCCCCTTAGTCAGGCCCCAGTGGCTGCCTCCTCCTCTGAGCCCGGTTTTATATACCTTGGGACTCCTCCCTGCCACAGCACCCTGAGTACAGCCTCGCTTACCCAGAGTCCGGCTCGGGCCTTCCCCTGGCACGCACCGAGTGAGCTGCTATGGTACAGATTCCAGCCCAGTCCAGACTCAGTTACTTGCTTCTTCAAAACAAAGCAAGGCCCAACAGAGGTGTGGGGTTTTGGCTCTATGGCTACCCCCTTGTTCTCCAGGGAGGGCTGAGGCCTTTTAGAAGGATTCCTGCCTGCATCACTTACCTGGCAGTAGAACAAGCACGCAGGGCTCAACCTCTTTTGTCTCGATAGCGATCTCGCTTTGTGGCATTTTCCCATCAACAGCAGGCACCGTTCAACTTTTGCTGTAGAGATGAACCTCCAAGCCCTGGCTGCGTGCTGACTTTGTCTCCGCCTGCATTCTCAGGGCTTGATCATTTAGCTGGCTGGAGCTTAATATAAATAAATGTGGCCCCTTTTGGATTCATCTTCAAGTAAACACTGTATTGGTTTTGCTTTTTGCTTCTTTCGAGTTGTCATACACTCGGGCAAAAAACTCAAGGGAAGTTCAAGTCCGCCACCTCCTTTAAGGACGGTCTAGGCTGCAACAGATGCTCTGTGCGTGTAGACCCTGCCGCGCCTCATTATTCTGAACACACGTTTGTGTGTGTGCTTCTTAAATCCCCTACATTCCAATAGTTGTGTAATGAGAGAGAAAAGAGAGGTAACATTAACCCAGCTCTGGAGGTAATTACGGGATACAATTGCTGGGTGAAACCCTGGCAATCCTTGTGAGCCGAGGAACACCTCTGTACAGTTATTTCTTTATGCAAAGGCCTGCTCTTTTCATTGTGCATACAACGTGATTGCTGGTTTGACACTGCAGGCTACACTGGTTTTATGAAGGATTAAATGCCACCTGAGACATATTTATCCTAAATAAATCACAAATGGTAAACTGCAGCGTGTCAGCGTCGGCACCCTGGGCTCCGTGGAAAGGTTAGCCATACAGGACTCAGCGCGGTCAAGAATTAGCATTGAGCTGCAGGACACGGGCCGGGGCTGCTGCCAATGGGAGAAATGATCAACAAATATTTCCACTGACCCCCCCTCGCCCCGCCCGCTGCCCCGACATGCGTGAGGAGCCTGCGCGGCCATCACTTGGTAAAGGTCACCTCCATCCTCAGAACCAACCAGAGCTCGCCTGTCACTGTTTGTCCAAGTAGCACTGCTGTTGTGAGGAAACACAAACCAGTCACCCACGGTGATGACACATCTCAGCAGCCACAGAGGGCGATACGTGGGCGCTGGTAGGCTAGAACGGACAGAACCCAAAGCGGAGACAGGAAGCCAGGAGAGTGACCATGTCACTTCCCAGCACTCACTCCCGTGGCCCCGGGAAGAGGGGCCACATGTGCACACCCACCAGGACCAGCTTCCTGTCCACCCGTCTGCCCTTAGAATTCCTGGGCACTAGCCACGGCGGGCTCTCGCTGCCAGGCTGCAACCAATCATCCACGATGGCTCCGCGCTCCGCGCCAGGCCGAGGAGGAGCCTGCTAGGAAGGCGCGTGGTCTGGCTGCGGGTGGACAGGGCATGGATGAAGCCCCAGAGAGGCAGACCCGGGCCGGCCGGTCGCCTGTGGGCTGGCCGCTTAGTGAAGTGAAACATCATCCTTCTCTGTTAATGCTATAATTTTATTTCAAAGAAAACAGAACAAAACAACCTTTGCCTTTGAGGGAAGGGCTTATTTTACAGTTTTCAAAAAGGAAGAAGAGCAATAGCATCAAGAAACAAATGAGTGGTACCTAAACTTGCATCCGGTGGCTGAAGTGCAGGCCGCAGCGGCTGGGCACCAGGCGGCGGGTGGGATGGGGGGGCAGGCGGGGGCTGCAGGGCACCGTTCTTGTTTGTTACTGTTTAATGTCAGCCTTTAAGGCTGACACAACCACAGATAAACTGCAAAAATGATAGTGATATGAATAAACATTTGTTATAAAAAGCAAAGTAGTGATAAAATGATACTTTTCAGAGCGTACATTTCATGTGTAGTCTTGACAGAACTAAATCAAAATGAGAATCACTAGGCATTCTGAACCAAGGTATACTTTAACCCAATATAAACTTCGAGGTTTTTCTTAACAGTAGGTGTAGGATTTCTGGTATGCAGAATTTGACCAGAGCAACTGGTATACCTAAACATGTGTGAAGAGAGGACAGGTATACACGGGTGCACTCACCGCTTCCTCGGGCCTGGGGTCACCTTCACCCTAAACTTGTTTTTTAAAGAAGGGAGGAACGGGAGCAGGGAGGGAGCCCGGGCGCACACCCCTCGCTCGGTGCTTGTGCAGCTCCAGATGTCGACAGCTGCCCGCTGTCCATGTTCCTCACCCCCGCCTTCTGCTGCACTGTGGGGGAGCGGGGGCGCCCCCAGCCTGGGACCGCCCTGCCGCACGTCCTCCCGGCGGACACGCCACTCCTGGCCCCGCTCTGCGTCCTCCGCGCCGGGTGGGTCTCGCTGCGCCTGCCCGCCCGCCCGCCCGCCGCAGCCCCGCAGGGAGGCGTGCCTCACGCGTCCCGGAGCTCGCCGCTCTCTCTTTGGCCCTGCACCACGGCGGCTGCTGTGGTGCGGTCCTGGGTGTAAATGACCATGCTGGCCAGCTGTCCTACCCCGCCAGGGGCCACGGCCTCGGCCTGCAGGATCTCCTGAGCACCAGCCTCCATGAGCGCGTGGGAGTACACGGCCTCGGGCTCCGGCCCGGCTGAGGGCAGCTCGGTCACGATGTAATGCGTCGTGCCCTCGGGAAAGCCGCTGCCGGCCTCGCCCACCATGGCCTGCACCAGCTCCTCGGTGACGATGATCTGGGAGATCTCGCCCTCCGACTCCACCAGGTCCACGCGCTCGGCGGGCAGCCGCAGGCCGTGGGGCTCAGCCTCCTGCATGATGAGCTGCGTGCCCTCGCCCGTCACCATGTGCACGGCGCCCTCCTCGTTCACCAGGACCTGCGTGACGCCGTCTTTGAGCAGCTGGCCGGCGGCGGCCGGGTCGCACACCGCTAGCTGCAGGACGCCCTGCACCATCCTCTTGAAGGCCACCTGGGCTCGCTCCTGGGAGGCCGTGATGGCCGTGGGCCGCGCGGCCTGGGCCAGCCCTTCCTGAGGGTCTGGGAACGGCTGGGTCTGCGGGGTCTCGGGGCTGGGCCTGGCGTCTTCCGGATGGGGCAGCTGGACCAGCACCTGCTTGGGGCCGGGCCTGCCCTTGTCCCTGCCCTGGACCTCGCCTAGCTCGCTGACCGCACACAGCAGGGCATCCAGGGCGGAGGCCGCCTCGGGCGGCGAGCCCGCGGCCTCGGACAGACTTAGAATCTCCTGCTTGGCCGCGGCCTCGCCGGGGCCCAGGGCCTCGTCCACGCCGTGACCCTCCACCGAGCCTCCCACGACCACCACCTGAGTGGCTCCGTCCAGCTGCTCTGGGAGGAGGGGCGCGGGGGCCGCGCCGCCCCCGGGGGTCCCGCTGGGGCTCGTGGCCACCACCTGGCCGTCCTCGGTGATGTGCACCACCCTGGCCACCTGGCCGGCCAGCGCCAGCGTCTGCAGCGTGGCCGCGGCCGTCTCCTCCACCGACGCGTCCAGCGCCAGCTCGCCGTCGTAGCCCTGGATGATGATGAGCTGCTGCAGCGGCTCCGCGGCCGGCGCCGGCCTCCGGCCGCCCCGCGCCTTCTCCCGCGCTGGGGACTCCTCGGCCAGCGCCGCGGCTGTGAACGGGCTGTCCGTTTCCACGAACGTGGCTCCTTGTCCCTTCAGGCGGCACTCGTAGGACTTGGACACGATGCCTACGGAGACAGGGACGGGAGAGGTGAGAAGAAGGCGCGGCAACCCCGCCTGCTGCAAGTGCGGGGAGGCCTGGCGCCTGCCACGCGCGTGCGCCTCACTCCGCAGGCTTACCAACAGCGAGCTGCCGACCCGCAGGAGGTGCTCCTCCGTGGGCCGAGGCGAGCCTGCTTTGTGAACAGGAGGAAGGAAAGCCCCGCGGCTCTGTGTCAAGAGCCGGTCACCAGCGTACAGGGCTGGAGGAGCTCAGCGCGACAAGTGTTTGCTGAGCACCTACCTCATGTTCGGCACCCAGCTACGGAAAAGGACAGCGTCAGGCACGGCGGCAGGTGCTCTGCCGGGGCCCGTGGCCACAGACGCAGACACCGGGCCCGTGGGGGTCTGGAGGCAGGCCGGGGGTGAGCTCTGGGAGCCCGGCCCTCGCAGAACAAGACCGATCCCCAGCTGGCCATGCCCACGGCAGTGGCCAGAGCACCTAGGGAAGAGTGGAGCTAGGCAGGAGGCTCGGGGCGTGGTGTTCAGGGTCAGGGACGACGGCCATGCAGGAGGAGGCCACGCCCACCCCAGCGCGGGGAGCAGGGCTCCTGGCCTGGATATCTGTGGTCATGGATCAGGTCTTCACCGGCTGCTCAGCACCACATGGGCCCGGGCTGGGGCGATGGCCGAGGAGAAGCCCAAAGCAGAAAAACCACAGCATCGCAACAGAGGACACCGGGGGCACACTACCTGCACGCACAGACACACCTTACCACACACACCACCTGTGAGCACAGACACGCCTTACCACACACACACCATCTGTGAGCAGACACGCCCTACCACACACACTACCTGTGAGCAGACACGCCGTACCACACACACACACCATCTGTGAGCACAGACACGCCCTACCACACACACACCATCTGTGAGCACAGACACGCCGTACCACACACACTACCTGTGAGCACAGACACGCCGTACTACACACACACACCATCTGTGAGCACAGACACGCCCTACCACACACACACCATCTGTGAGCAGACACGCCGTACCACACACACACCATCTGTGAGCAGACACGCCGTACCACACACACTACCTGTGAGCAGACACGCCGTACCACACACACACACCATCTGTGAGCACAGACACGCCCTACCACACACACACCATCTGTGA